GAATTTATTGTTGTTATTTACACGATAGTAATATTTATTTTATTCACCAAATTTCGAGTCGAAAATTCACCATAAAACGAAAATGCAATTTATGGAATTCGGCACTTTTAATGAAGATCATTTGCTGAGCTATGTGTCGTTGAGAATAGCTGAATCGTTTTCTCAATGAAATATTAATGAAACGCTCTAAAAAAATTAAAAAAAACAATGTTTAGCGAAATATTTCTAATTCAAATCTATTGGGATTTTAAAAAAGCTTTAATTATTTTATTTTATTAAATGCAAAGAACGATTAACTAACTAAGCGATAAAAATATTAAAATATGTGTAATTTTTGATTTTTTATTTTTTAAAAATTCATAAAAAAAAGAGTAATGATTTTAATTTTATTCAATGATAATTATTTAAATTTACATGAAAATTAGTTGTTTTCTAGGAAAAAAAAAGAATTTAAGAAATAATTTGGATTAGAATTACAACACTAGTGAATAAAATTTTTCGCGAAACTCATTAATGAAGCACATGATATCATATTATATTTAGAAATTATCTGTGTTATTAACAATCACAATTTCGTAGACTGATTATGGTTATCAATCTTTAGATAGAATAAGCCTAAAGCATAATTCATTTGCCCAAAGGGTTCATTAATAAAATAATGAAAAATAAGAAAATAAGAATAATAATCTACAAGATTCGATGAGATATAAATCGACTAGAATCAAAAAAAAATGAAGGAAAACACATATATAAACTCATAAAAATATTTATAAAGCTATTTCTTATAAAGGAATTTATATAAAAAACTCATAAATCCTCTTCTTCATGAACATAAAAAATTATGGCACCATGCTTCCATAATAGCTTTAACTTGATTGTGAATTAATAAAAGGCTAGCGTTGAATGTCATTCCATTGCTATTTTGCTGATATGATATGAGATTTTCCATCTCCAGGTCCATCTTATCATTAAACATGGATTTCTTTACAATTTTATTATTTTATTCTATAAACTATATGGCAAAGTATGAGAATAACAGTCTAAATTGTAATTATTATTATTATTATCATTATTATTATTGTAAAATAATAATAATTTATTTATAGCTTTCGAAAGATCCCATGCAGTATGCAGTATGAGATGGCTATATTAGTAATATACGAGTCGAATGAATTAAACCTATTTAAAGCCTCGAGAATTCTTAACAAACTATGTTTATTTTTAAGGAAAATCATTGCACTGAAAATTCACTTTAGGCAAACACAATATTTTTGAGAAAAACCTATTAGAGAAAGAATAGCGGTTCCAGAAATTTATAATTCTCTAAATTTCAGCAATTTTTTTATTTTTTTATTTTCTTTTTTATTTTCCATATTATCTTTCGTATTTCTTAAAAAAGAAATTTTTTTCACCATTCCTCGTCATATTCTTCCATTGCGTGTTTTTTTTTTTTGTATTTTAAATGGCTTATTTTTATTAAATATTTTAATAGTATTTTGTTCACGCTATCTTTATAAATAATTTGTTCATTTTTGCTAATTAGTGCAAAATGCCTATTCAAAAGGCAGCGCTTTCTATAAAATATAAAAAAAGATTATCTTAAGGGATATGAAAAAACTTAAAAATTCTCTGAAAGTACATTATAATTTTGCCGCAGTTTTTCTTATCTCAAATAGTTCTATGTTGTGGCTTAGTTTGAATGATAAGACTTTCGAAATTCGTGAATATTAAAAGGTGAAAGGTGAAAATATGGTGTAAAATTTTCGCTGACAAATAAATTACTTCAAAGAGAATTTAATATTTAATATCGATATTAACAAATGGCATATGGTCATTGATTTGTTTAAATGATTGCTCTGGTCAATTTCTTTAGGCAAGAAACCTGAGGAAAAATGGTTCAAATGGTCATCTTTTTTCCCTTTATATTTTTCCCTTTCTCTATAGTTTTGTTAATACAAGGATTTTCATGCTGAACTATGCAATACCCTCAAAATAGGCTTAAATTTAGGCTCTTTCAATAATAATATTTTCCAAATATATTTGCCTTTTTTCAATAAATCTTATCTAGAATGAATATTTATATAAAAATTATATTCATAATAATGAGCGATTATTCTCTTTTGCTTTATTATTGATCGTAATATCACATGTTCCATGCAATTTATAAGGCGCTAAATAGAAGAAAGAGAATTAAAAGATTGTGAAAATTACTGATAAATATTCATATATATTTTATTTATATGTATGTGATTTTTGAACAAAACAACTGAATAACTAAAAATGGGCAACGCTAAACGAATGTTGAAATTTCAATATAATTATATAAATGTGTTGTATATATGTATATGTATATAAAATTATAAAATTAAATATATAAAATATATATTTACTTCTATATATATTTATATATAATATATATTAAAATATGTAAAATTATAAATTAATTTCGAATTCACAAGATTGCCGATTATTTCCGGGCATTTGATCCTTTTAGCTTTTTATTTTTTTGTTTTTTGAAGAGCTCTCATCATTTTTGCTAAGATTAACTTCATTGACTTGTCGGAATAGTTAAATTTTTATAGGAATTTATTTCGTGATAGATTTACGAGTGGATTTCTAGCACCATCCGAATTTTTATAAGACAAGTTAACCCCTGCCAGTTAACCCCTGCCAGCAACCCATTGAGCTATTTTGTCACCAGGTCAACAGAACAATCGTTGATTATTGCATCCTTTCCGGATATAAGGCACTTTTGAGGTGATAATACCTATTGTCGCGATATGCAATCTTTCTATTATTTTAAATTTATTATTTCAAAATAGTGGCACCGACCCGCCAAATGAAGCCTTTCAGTTATTTATTAATTCCTTATCTTCACATACGTCAATAAAGAATTTATAAGTATATGAAGAATATCCTTTTTAATAAAACTATTCCTTTGGTGCCATCAAGGGGTCCGAGCGGTTGAGTCCCAATATTTTAATTTTTCTACATTTTCCCTTATTTTTCCCTTGTAATTACTTTTTAATCATTATTTATATTTACATTTATATTTAATCATTTATTTGTTTTGAAATATTTATCTGGTTTTATTTTGTGTGAATATTGTTTTTCGTACACTATATATTAATCGGTTTAATTACCTAAGTTTGAGGTAGCGAAATAAACATTTTTATCAATTCGTGCGGTGAACAATTTTTTTTTTTGTCCTGAAGGAAGCAGTCAAGATTATTCTAATATAACTAATGTATTGCAGGAAAGCATCCCACTGCTTCCAAGCAATAATTTATTATTTATTTTTTTACACCTATGTTTTTTTTCTATTTCCTGTTTCATGCATTTTTTTCCTTACCATGATATTTTGCCACCTTTATTTTAATCAATTTGTCTTGCACCTCTAAATTATCTCTCTATTGGCCTTGGCTTTCTCATAAACAAGACCCTCGTGATCTGAAAGAAGAAACTATTTTCGTTTCTTCGATATTTTTTCTCCCAGTAAATATATCGAAAATAATTTGCATATATTTCAGATTTATTTTGACTAATCAACGAAGCGTTATTATTATTATCGAAAAACAATTTTGGCGAATGATTTCCTCCCAATGCAATTCGCTTCGTATACCATCAAGGATAAATTTACGTAATCGTTGTATGTCTGAAAGTGAGCCTTTGAGTAATGGAGAAAATCTACTCAACTCAAATGGTACTTTCAATACAACCACAATATTTACGAATTTTTCAGAGAAGTATTTTTCTTCTCACTTTTTTTCTTTATGAAGAACTTAAAAAAGTGAGAATAATTGAAAAAATGAGCTTCGTTATCACTATTCTTCTTCATCGGTGCAAGATTTCGATATTAAATTGATTATGAAGACCTTCTTAGCCAACTCGTGAACAGAGGCACTTTTGCCGTGTAATATTCACTCTTTCAAATCTTAATGATAGATTTCCGCTTATCATAAGAAAATAATCGAAAAATAGTGCGTGCCTTTACAAGCATCAATATATTATTCAATCATTGAATATTATGAATATGAGAATTAGCGAATTAAACTGGTATAGAGACTCGTTGTTCAGGTGAACGGGGAGAAATGCTTTGATAGAATTCTTTTAAAACACAAAATACCCTTCTTCATATATACTACTATTCTGTTTCGCTACTTCATCTTCAGCCACATTCAAATTACTCCTTATTAGATGTGCAACTACAGACAAAGCTGCTGGCATTAAAAAAAAGCAAAATGGGGCATTGATAAAATCTGTGCGAAACAGTATTAAGGAGCTACAATGGTCATAGAAAAAACCATAAGAGGTCTGAAAAGTACAGCAGTGAATGAAAGGTGGTGAGGGATATTTAAAGAGATAGAAGAGATTGCTTTTCATGAAATATAAAATCGGATAAGCAGGTGCCTTCAAATCATTGTAACAAGTTTACAACCAAATTTATTTCTGAATTTATTACATTCATTCGCACACATTAGCACTTCATAACTTGGATGAAATATTCATCATATGGAAAGATTGATAAAAACTCTTCGGATCTGAGCACCTCTTGGTATCCTTCCAAGTTGCTATATTCCCTTGGAGGATCATTGATTCCTGGCACCATTTGTATTCCAAATCCCTATTCACTCTTTCTTAATTTCAACGAATTTCCGTCATAAATCCTCAAAATCACCTAATCATCGTCATTTTTCCTTTTTTATAACCTTTAATTTGGACCAAAAATGGATGCGAGATTGGATAAGGTATAATGGCTGAATCGATATTCGAATGACATGGCTTTGAATACGGAGGTAGCAACTCGAGTGGGCCATCATCAAAGACTATTCCACTTCCACCTATTTCGCGAAGCAAATCCGGTGTGATAAGGATGTGATGAGAATCTCGTTAAAACCATCAAACCATTAAAAATAAAAATATGTAATGGGGATGAGTGGTATCAAGGGATTACAATTTTTTCTGAGAGGAATGAAGTAGCAGGAAAGGATTTAATATTAATGGCTTATGGTAAAATAGTGTGGCAAGGTTTTGGTTGTCGAAATTCGATGGGGTTTTGCACCAAATATTGCATATTTTTAGCAACATTGGAGGGCTCCAAAACAAAAAAAGTTTGAGTAGAAAGTCGCATTTTTCTGGATGCTTACAAAATTGGAGAAAAACGTCTTGTTCAACAGCCTTATTAGATACATTAAGCTTTAAAATAAAAATACTAAAAAATGAGAATTATTTAGCAATGATACTCAGCGAAATACCAATCCCGAATACTTAAATGGAACATATGGTGATAACATGGAAATCGAAGAGAAACGCGAAGGATGGGACAATAAAATGCAATTTTTTATGGGAGTTATTTCATATGCTGTCGGCCTTGGAAATGTTTGGAGATTTCCATATCTTTGTCAAAAAAATGGTGGTGGTTAGTTTTTTTTATTTTTCAAGCAAAATGACGCTTTAAAGGTAAAATTTTTCTGGCCATTTTATTCTATAATTGTTTTTCTTGAGGTGTCACAGCCAATTTTTGCTCATGAAGGATGCATGTATCGGTGTGGGTGACTACCACTATACTGCCTATAAGAATGGTGTTTCCCAGCGAATTCATATCTGAAAATAACTGAAATTATTTTTTTTCCCAAGTGTATATCGCTCAAATATAGCTGCACCAACAATGCTTTGCTCATTCTAAATTTACTTGCTGTTTTTTGCTTTTAACGCAAAATTTGGCGTGTAGCAGGATATGCATCAATTTCTATGATGACCATTAAGAATACAGCTTAATGAATTCAGGCAATATACATAATGTGATATTATTTTCGGCGAGTAGAATATTTTACATTGTAAGAATGGACATGAGAAAATTTCATGAGAAAAAAATTTCATCTGACGGAAGAATTTAAAATATTTCTGACGATAAATATCAGAAATTCTTGTCGGTCGACTTTACAGTTCAAAAGTGTTCTAAAATATTTCCCAAGATATTTGAAAGCTTGTGTTTTATCAATCGTTGATATGAGTTTATCTATTGAATTATTAGTGAATATGAATTTATCAGTGCTCGATAATGAAAGGAAAGCGGGTTTAGTCATATCATAATTCCATAATATCATTTTTAGCTTGATTGACTGCATTGATGGCGAAGTAAAATGCTTCCTAGTCTTTTTTTTAGCCTTCCTAGTCTTTTTGATTCAATGTAATACTCGAAAGTAATTGAAGCAACCTCTTTTTCAACTACCTAAGCCCATATATAAATTGGTCGCTATTTGAAATCTCTCTTCAATGCATCTTTGATTTTCCTAATTTTTAAAACGATCCGTCACATGGTTTAGCGATTTGCGAGAGGTTATAGAAGTGCACTACAAATAGAAAAATGCGAAATTTTGTTTTAAAACAGCAATCTAAAGAGGCTTCACAAGGCTTCACCAAATGAAAGAAAGCGAACCTAGTTGCAGTTGTTTGAACTGAGATTTCAAAAATTGCAAAATTCATGAAACGATTAGATCCGAAATAAATTCGAGATGACTGGAATAGTGATTAATTTATTTTGATCTCATTGCTCTTTGCATATAGAAAGATCTAAACAAAAGTGAAAGTATCCGGTTTACACTGATTTGAAAGCCAATATTCGATGATTTTATCGATGACAGTCTTTTGCAATTCTTGGCAAGTGTCACTGAAAATAATAACATCATCAGCGTATTCAGTTATGGCTAATACTTTGAACTGATTTATGATTTGCTGAGTCTCACGAAGTGTCCATAAGTGTCCAAGTCTGTGTCGTCTATCTATTGAAAATTGTAGGAAAGAGGATATAAGATTCGAAAATTGTAGGAAAGAGGGTTTAAGGTTCGATTCGAAAGGTTCTTCTTGCTCATTTTATTCGCTCCAGATGAATAGTTTTCAATAACTCAATCATCGTACAATTATCGATGCATGGTCTAATATTTCCATATTTCTTGATCTCAACTTAATAAAAAACTGGTGAAAGAGAAGAAAAAAAAACAGAGATCAGACACATATTAATCCTTATTTCTTAGTATTTATTTAAATTAAAATATTGAATATATCTTTATAAAAAATAAAAATATTTATTGACTTTCAAATTATAGGAGCATTTTTGATTCCTTATATTCTAATGATGATATTCGAAGGAATGCCTTTATTCCTCATCGAATTAGGAATTGGCCAAAAAATGCGTACAGGACCAGTTGGTGTTTGGAATGCTATTCATCCATATCTTGGTGGTTAGTTCAATTAAATTCTTTTTCATATCTATTATTTTGCAATAATATTTTGCACCATTTTCACCTCTCATATTTTGTTATATCTAAATATTTTTATTTCTATTAAGGAATAATTAAAATAAGTAAAAATGATTTAAAATACTATCGGCATTCTCTAATTCTTTACCTAAATCATTATATCTGAAAGGATATCTATTTTAGGATCCCTTTTTATGATCCCTCACCATTACTGGATAGATTCACTCTACTTTGTCACACTTGACAAGGAATCTTTTGGCGATAAAGATACAGATGAATCGCCAACACCACATGGATTTTGGGCAGATTTACGCCCTGAATTGAATTAAAACCCACTGAGCTATTCTACTCACGCATTTTTGAGGTACATGCTGGAGGACGAGATTTATTCAAAGTTCTGAAAAGCTAAGAAATCTTATCGAAATAGAAACCTTTGTCCATAATTATATATTTCTATACGTAATCTAAGCCTTATTGTAGCATCAATAATTATTTCCATTTTTAATTTAATTTTCATCGATTTACTTCATTTTTTATTTAATTTAATTAAATTATAAAAACTTATTGCATATGTATTTTCACGTTGCCGGAATAAATGCACTTACATGAATGAATTTTTTTCTTTTAAATATATTTTTTTTTAGAAAAAATAAATAAATATTTATAAATATTAAATAAATAAATATTTCTTTTGCCTTATGCCTTTTAAATAAATATTCCATAGGTAAAAAAATGAAAAATCTTTGATCTTCCTGAAAATATTTTAAAAAAATTAAAGAAATCGCCAAAAATCTTTAATTATTTTTTCCAGGTGTCGGTGTTTCAGCAGCTATTGTATCATATCTTGTTGCTATTTATTATAACGTTATAATTTCGTGGTGTATCTATTATTTATTCAGTTCATTTAGAATGGAATTGCCGTGGGGAGTAAGATTCTTCTTTTTTTGCTCTCTCTCTAATTGCAGCTATTCTGATTTGACTGATTTCATCGACTTCTAGGGACTAATTCATTTCGTCGAAGATATTTTTTTGGAATAGAAATATAAAAAATTCCCAAAATCTCTCGGATTTCACTTTTAACTATCTTCTTGAACGTGTAGTGGCTGCTAAACTAATTCAGCAGAAACAAATTACATCTCAGCCATCAGCGAGCAGCAATATGTAAAAAAAAAAAGTTATAGAATTTAAGAGTGTTCTGCTTTTTTTTCAGAAATCATCTTTAATATTGCATCTTTAATAATTTTTTTAATATTTTGAAAATTATCTTTAATTCGATTCAATAAGATTTTATAAATCTAAGTATTTTTGTTTTTTTTTTTTGTTATTGAATTCAACAAATATTTTTAAATTGCAACAAATTTTTGAAAATTTTTGAAATTTATTTTTACTCATAAATAAATTGAATGAATTGTCTTTATTCATTCATTATTCACTGCAATTCCTTTTAAATAAATATTTCATTCGCCAATTAAAAGAAAATTTTTCTATTTATTCGAAATTATTTTCGAAACATCCGCTTAATTTGAAAATTGCTAAAAATATGAAATATAATCCTAGAAGTGCCCAGAGGTGAATAACACAATTGTTGAAGAATGTGAAATGTCTAGTTCAAAAACTGTTTATTTCTGGAATAGAGTGGCAACCGACGCCAGCAAGTAATAAATTTTCCTCATTTATGCAAAATTAATTTTGAATTAATTTTAATAACTTCTAATTTTTGTATACATTTTTTTTTTTATAATTAATACAAAAATACAATTTTTGTATTCATTTTTTCATTTTTTTTCATTTTAAATAATTTTTTTTAGATTTTCTGGTTTTTTCGAACTATTTTTTATTCGATGGAAGAATTTTGAAATAAAGAATTTCTAAAATTATTTCGATGTCTTTTTTTTTGCAGTTCATTTGAAGAATCAAATGGTTTCGTTTATCATATCACATTTTCACTCATATTGGCTTGGTTTATCATTTATCTCTGCGTTATGCGAGGAATTAAAAGCAGTGGAAAGGTGCAATTTCCATTTCCAATTTTTTTTTTTTTTCATTCGAAAAGAATCGATGTTCCTTTGGTTCATATTATATTCATATTCAACAATTCGATAAATTTTTTATTAATTAATATTCAAATATTTTAATTAACTAAAAGTTTTAGCTAAAATAAATAAATATTCATAATAAATAAATAAAAATAATAAATAAATATTCATTAATGTTTATCGCTATTCAGCTTTTCAGGTGATGTATCTCACCGCAACTTTCCCTTATATTGTCACAACGATATTTCTAATTCGTGCTATTGCGTTAAATGGTGCAATTGATGGTTTAAAATATTTAATATCACCAGATGTTTGTATTTTATAAGTGTCCAATTTTATAAGTGTTTAAATTATAGCATTTAATTGTTATCGAATTGTTTTATTGTCTATTGACTAATTCAAGTAATCCAAACATTTTTGGTCCTTTTAATGTCATAATGGTGAAACCAGTCTTTCTTTTCTGATTTGGAACGTTTCACTTACTTGTCAGGTCAAGCAAATCTTTTCAAACGATTCAAGAAGTTTAGGCAAATATCGGATAAGTCAAATTTTTCCCTACGCAGGATAGAACCCTGTCATTTAAGTTTAGAAATGAGTATAATAATGCACTGAGCCATTCCAGTCGGTGCCGATCATTTTTATTTATTAATTTATAAGTTTTTATTTAATTTTCTATTTTATTTTAAGTTTTATTTTATTATTTATTTTATTTTATTCTATTTTATTATTTTCGCAAAAAATATTTATTTACATTTTCTTGAATTTTTAGTTAAAATTTTCCAAATTTAAGTTTTAAATAATTGTTTCATATATTTTTCCTATTTAAAGTGAAATAGCTCTTCTCTTTTTCTCAAAAAAATATGATATTTTGAGAGTAGGAAAAATATATAGCAAAAAAATTTTCAGCTATCTCGATTGCTGGATTCCAGCGTTTGGCTTGAAGCTGCTACTCAAATATTTTACAGCATGGGCCTTGGATTTGGAGGTTTCACGCTGATCGCTTTCTAAGATATAATCCTAGCTTTTAGCCGTAGCTTTGTTATTATAAATAAATAAAATAATAAATTCAAATAATGCCATAATTCTTTTATAATTAATTCTTTATAGGTTTAATTGCATTCGCATCATATAATCCTATCAAAAATAATTGCAAGAAAGATTGCGTGAAACTCTCGTTTTGCAATTTAATAACATCGTTATATACAGCTGTTTTAATATTTTGTGTTTTGGGTTATATGGGCGAAAAAAATTATCATAGCTGTTTGGATAAGTTTGTTAAATTCTTTTTTTTTTTATCAATATTTCTCTTTAAACATTTGAAAATTTCTTTTTTTTGGAACAAATTTTTTATCATATTTTATCAATCTAATATTTTAGAATCTTTTATTGGTTTACATTATTATTGCAATATTTTTGCAGAGATATGGCAATTATTCTCGAATTGTATCCGCGACGATTTGATAATCTCGCTGAGCTTAAACAAAACATTAGTGTAGAACGATATATAGAATGGATGCATGACAGTTTCCAACAGAGTGAATTTCCTTTGTTAGCCAATGTGTCAAAATATTGTAATTATGAGAAGATTGTCGCAGAGGTATTTTAATTTTAAATTTTAAATTTTAGCACATTAAAATTTTATGAATAGTTATTTAAAAAAATATGGCTTTCAGCTTTATTATAAGTAAAATAAAATAAATTCAAATAACGCTATAATTCATGAGGTTAATAAATTGCAAAATTCTATAATTTTAAAAGATTTATGATTGTTACTTCTTTTCTTTTTTTTATTTTTTTTTAATTAACAATTTTTTAATTTAAATTTTAATGAATTTTAGGCTGCTGAAGGAACTGGTCTCGCTTTTGTGGTTTTTACAGAAGCTATTTTACAATTTCCAACGCCACCTATTTGGTCAATTTTTTTCTTCCTTATGCTATTAATGCTAGGTCTAGGATCAATGTTTGGTACACTTGAAGGTATTATTACTTCGTTAAATGATAGCAATTTGGTTGCAATCAAAAAACCTCTTCTCTCTGCGATTATTTGCACATCGTCATGCCTTATTGGTTTAGTTTTTACGACACACGCTGGTCAGGTATCTTATTATTATTTTTCTATGATTTTTATTTTATATGATAATAAGACCTATTCAAAAATCCAGGTGATTCCGGGCGACTCACCTGTAGTTCCACACCTGTACTTCTAACGCTAAGGGAATTCACTGGCATGTATTTTTCTAGTGCGACAAAACCAGCGGAATGAATCTAATCAGCGATGCCATTTAAAAAAAAAAGAAATCACTTATCTATAATTGTAAATATTTCGTTATTTTATAGGCGGAAATTGATAAAAGCTGATTTCAGTATTGGGTTTCGTTATTCGATCAATTTGCTGGTAGTTATGCGCTTATGGTTGTTGCATTTTTCGAAATCGTTGCTGTTATTTATGTATATGGCTGCAGGAAGTAAGTAATATTTTTCTATTTTTTATAAAAATTTGATGGGATTCTTCGAAATATTATAATAGAATTAAAGGAAAACAACTAAGAAGTTTAATAGTGTTGCATTTTATTCTGCTAAAAATTGCAATATTATTATCGTTGAAGATTTTAAAATTGCATAAAATTACAGTTATAATTTTAGTTTAAAATATATTTTTTTAAATTATATTTTTATAGTCAATTAATTTTCTATAATTTTAATTAAGAATTGTATTTTTTATATTTTTGAAAATAATAATTGTATTTTTTTTATTTCAGATTTACTCGAGACATTGAACTTATGACAGGTGAAAGTGTATCTTTATATTGGACTATTTCTTGGCGTATTTTTGCACCATTAATTATGATTGGATTATTCAGTTCTTCAATAGTGAAATCATTTAGGATTTTACCGATCTATTTTGCTTATGATAAGAAAACTGTTGGTTTTCTTTTTTTTTTTTGTTTTAATTTTCCTAGACATTAGCCATAATAATTATTATTTTTTTGTTTATTACTTTTTTTATTACTTACTTAATTAAATTTTTATTTTAAAAAATTTTATTGAACAGTTAATTACCCAATTATTTTTTATTGGCAAAAAAATTACAAATTCATAAGTTTTAATTTTTTTTTTTTTGAAACCAAAATTATGGAAAATTTTATTGAATTTTATTTTTTAATTCATTAGTAATGAAATCATAAATTTTAAAATTTTACGTCTATTAATATAAATTTTTTAATTTTGTATTAATAGCTGGCGGTTGTTTTTTTTTGCTGTATATTGAAATAATTGAAAAATGGAAAATGCAAATTTTCTTTAGACATTACAAGTTGCTACGGAATATCCAGCTTGGGCTCTTTTTATCGCATTAACTATGGTTATTTGCACGATTGCACCAGTGCCTGCCGTTACATTCGTTCGAGCTATGAAATTATTCAAATGTGAGCCCGACATACCAACGGTTCGTTTTCATGGCGAATTACAATATTCAATATTTTTAAATTTTGTTTCTTTTTTCGGAAGAATAAAAAGAGTATAAAATCGAAATAAATTCTTATAATTTCATCGAAAAACACTAATCGACTAATTTGTTGGCTACCTATTTATTGTTGGTATATTATTTAGTCGAAATTATTTAAGTGGTAGCCATTTAATTAAAAAACCTTGGCCAGTTGTAAATTCCTCTTTTTTTTGAGGAATAAAGCCTATGCATCTCTTGGATGATTTTGCAGGCTCAGCGAATTATTAATTCAACAGCAAGTACTTCTTATATACTCAAATCTCAATCATCGTTTAATAAGATCAACGAATCATTAGAGTTCGACTTGCAATCTTTAGGTGAATCGGAAAAAAATCTCCAATTAGGTTAAATAGGATCGTAGCGATAGCAATCATTTGTAATTTTTTTCTTCGTTTACAATATCTGTTTAAAATGGAATAAAATATATTTAACCTCTTTTTTTTGCAATATTTATTTACTGTTATTATTGATATTGATATATTGATAATATATATTCGTTATATTCGTTTTTTTTGTATTATAAATTAATTAGCAGATATAAATGAAATATAATACAAAGGCGAATATTTATAATGTAAGGATTTTTGCAAGGACCAAATAATATTTCCTTATTAATTTGCATATTACTTTAATAATTCACTAAAATAGTATTTTTTAGCAAAAAAATTTTTTTCCCCAAAGTGGCAATATTTAATAATTATAATAAAAATGAAAAAATATTTTAAAAAATTATTTAGAAAATAAGTAAAGAATAAAAAAAATCGAATCGTTGCCAAATATTTATGTTACATAAAAAAATTTTTATATTTAATTTAATATATTTAATTTATTAAATAAGTCAATGTTTCCTAATTTTTTTTTTGTATTATTTATGTAATATATTATTTTTAAAGGATGAATGAAAAGTTGTTATAAATTTTTAAATGCATTAATCTAAGGGATTTCAATAATAAAAATATTATCTCTAAAATATTTCTAAAATATGTAATGGAACGAACGCATATTTGAGAAATTTAATATCTTTGAAATCTTAAAATCTTAAATCTCGAAATTTTAATATCTTAAAATTTTCCTGATAATGTTTGCGTTCAATATTCATAATTTGTAACATTGTCAAGTTCATCCTTATCAAATTTGTTTTTAATTTGTATTTATGATTATGTATTTTTATTTTTTTGTAATTGAATCATAATTATCTATTTTCATGTTCTACTTTTCTTATTTATTCAAAATACGAGTGTTAAACATAGTGATAAAATATACAATTTTTTATTTTCTGCATATGTTTTTTGAAAAAAAGCAATAAGAAAACCGATAAATATATTTTTAATAAATTTTCACAGATTTTTTTTCATCGAAATAGCCACTTTTGCAAAATCTTTTTCTTTTACTATTTTTTTCTCAATTATTTTTTAATTTTGAAAAATTGCATCCTAATATTTATATGGACAATTTTTGAATGTATGAGGGGGAGAAAGAACAATAGACCGAGAAGTACCACGGGAAAGGAAGGGATAATGAAAAGGAGGATAATGAAGTTATTCAATATTTTAGTATTGAAGAATATTTAATATTTCAGGAATTTATTCAGTTTAAATATTTTTCAAGGAATTTATTTTGTTATTTTCATCTTTGAATAAATTTTTTAAATTTCTCTCTTATGCATCAAAAAACTTTAATTATTATTTTAACAAATTTATTACCAAGTTCTGATTTGGCTCGCTTTTCTATCGAATAGGATTTTCGATAAGGCCACAGAATTCTTCTTCTGATTCTTCTTCTCAGGGGCATATAGCTTATTCGTTTCATATTTTTATATTATGATTGTCAGGGATATGATTATTCGAAAGATATGGTTGTTCAGACCCGTTTCAAGCACCATGGATACGATTTTCCTCTATAACAAACTCTATTATCAAAAAATCCTAATGGTACTTATGATTTATCTAGATTTCTATCTTCAAGTGATTCCTTGGGAAAAATTTTTAATGTCGATGAATTGTTCTGATAAGAATGGTAAAAGCTTTCCACTTGGCTTAATTGCCCAAATGATAAGGAAATGAGCTCCATTTTTAATATAAATATTCAGTTTTCATGTTTCATCTCATTTAAGAAATTAGCCAGAGAAATGGCTTTAAAAAATGAATTTTCTTAAAAATTTAATATAAATGGCTATTCATCCAAGCTATTCAGTAAAGCAATAATAAATTTGAGATTATAGGAGAAAAATTGGCGATAACTTGACAAGGTCGTCATGGAGATTCATGGAGATTTTCATGTTACCAAATAAAACGACTAGAATTAGAAGAGTTTTATTCTTTATATTTTGTTCTGATTTTTCAAAAATTTTTTTTTTTCTAAGAGTAATCATCATTATAATTAAATTTGCATCGCTGGCCAAATTTTGCTACATAATTAGTTGGCGATAGAACTATAGGTGAATTTTCTAGCACCAAACGAATTTATGGATTTACTTATGTTAGAAACAAAACTTCAGCATCGGCACTCTGAAACGAGCGTTACAATAATAAGCTCAATAAGCTATTTTTCTCTGTTGATTTATATCCTTTATATTTTTTATTTTGAACATAAAGAATTCGTAATTTCTATATTTATGATAAATAAATATAATGAATTATCATTTGTTTTGAGGTATTTTCGCCTTTAATGGCATATTTATATGAGTCAGTGAAAGAGCCAATAGTGAAATGTATTATGGACGAGAAGTTAAAGCAGATTTTCGATTAGATGGCAAGAAATTGTATAATTTATACTTGAAAGATAAAGTAATCACTGCTGATTAAGCGAAATAACATCAATAAAGTAAATATATTCGTGCGATCATTTTATAGAGATCTGCTATTTGAACTCTTCCATACTCCTATATACTTTTCCTTTTGCCTCATTCATTCCATTTTCCTTTTATCCTTACAAATAGGAGAAAGAATGATAAAAATTGTTATATACGATTTGTGAAACTATATGGAAATCTAAATGGGTGATAGCGACTCGGATACAATTGGCAATCTTCTTGAAGTATTCTTATCTTTCGTTCTTTATTATTCCCATTTTTTGCATTTTATCTATTCCCTTATCATTTTCCTATTTATGATTATTCATGAATCAGACATAAATGCAATTATTGTTGTTTAAGGGCATTGACGATTTGGATGATGAATTATTCGGTCGTAAAAAGAAACAGGAACAAAATATCAGTAAACTGAGCGATAAATTTTTTGAAAAAACAAGTGGGAAAGGAACACAAATGAGCAGAAATCCAGAGTTTACTGAGGATTCAAGAAGGGTTTATAAAAAATTTGGATAGATTTTCAAGTTCTAAAATTTGCTGAATAAATTGATAAATTGATAAATCATAAAATTGATATGGTGCAATAAATATATAAGTAAAAATACAGTATGTTATAGCGTACCAGTCGGCTGAAATCAACTTTTGAGGAACTCGATTTTGGAGCACCCGGAAGGAAACCTACTGTATCCTTTCTAGATGAGAAATCTGACATTACAACAAAGCGAGTAAAATTTTGTACGAAAACCTCTATAAAACTTTTAATTTTCCTAAATTTTTCAAATTTTTTCTGTGCTTTTTTTTTGTTGGTGAATTTTCTTTTGTAATGATAAAACTGATTATCACTACCATATATTTACTTTTTTCTCTTTTTTTTAAGAGTACTTATTATTGCTGGTTAGTCTCGCTCGTCTGGCTTGTCGGACTAGAAAACTATGCTAGGGATTTCCTTGGCGATAATACAGGTGAGTCGTCCAGCATCACCCGTTGCATTAAAATGATATATTCATTCTTTAGGTTCAAATATATAGTATTGATAAAATTTAGTGTTTTCCAGAAGACGATGGATGAGAGAAGCAGCAAAATCGATGGTGATTCGACTAAAATCGACCTAGGTACGAAAGCAGACCTTCTAACGCAGTTAGCTTTAAAATAGCTTCATATTGATTTTCTTGTATTTCAACAATATGCTCAAATTGTTATGCAATGATATCAATCATTATCAATCAATCAAGGGACCGCATTCAATAATTATTTTATCACGGATAGCCTTAAACGATGAAAAATCCATCAATCTTATTCATAGAGAAATAATTTGCATGCAATTTGATAAAATAAAAATAATATAAACAATTTAAATGAAGCCTAAAGGAATAAAAATTGGTTATAATACTATTAAAAGAAAATACTGATTAATTTTCGCAATAAATTTTATAATGAGTTATATATTATAAATTTTATAAAATGTTTGCTTAAGGAAGAATTCAAAAAATAATATTTAAATAATTTTTTTTCAAAAATATTGATATTTCTCGAAAAGAATAATTGTTTTATTATGGAGGGCTTCAATTATTATGTTTAATTTCGTTATTTCTATGGTACCACTAAATTTTTTTTTAAGTAAAAAGCCTACAACTGGTTTGAATACCATTCTATTTAATGAAACAAAAGCTACTGGTCAACCTATTTCGTCAGATAAAGAGGATCTCTTTCTTTTGCAGCAACAACGGTTTGACTTCAGTCCTTTCTAGAAAAGAAAAGATTTGCCAGAAAATTTATTTGCTTGCAAATTAAACAAAAAAAAACTTTATATCTTTTATTAAAATGTGTGAAAGGAAAAGGTAAAGTGAGTTTTTTTAGAGAGCTGGGGGGGGGGAGGGAGATTCTATTTAATACAAAAAAATTAAGAATTAGGCACATTGATCTCCACAGAGGCTAAATTTAGATTTAAAGGAAGAGCATAAGCCTAATTTAAATTATTCTTTTGTGAGGCAAAATTGGTGGCCATAGCGAATAATTCATGAATATATTATAAGTTTTGAAGTGGATATCAAAAAAGTAGAAAAGATTATCTGACATTGATGGCATGGATGAGCTTATTTAAGCTTGTGAAAATAAAGCAAAGTGATTCACTATTTCTGATCCGTTAGCTGGAAATTTTTGCCAATGGAATCATTTGCCGATAGAAATGCAATTTTTTAGTTTGCCAGCCAGATTTTACTCATAAAAGACTAAGCCTAGGATTAAGAGTTTGATATTCTAAGAATTAACTTATCTTAGAAGGAAGGAAATCACCGAAATTATTTAAATGAAAAAATCTATTCTCAAAACGATAGTGTCTTTTATTTTATTTAATTATATAAAAGCTTAGAAAACCAGCGAAAACGATTGTAGTATATCCAATCGTGCACTTCTCAATATCAACGTCTATTCGAATTTAAAGAATTTTGAGAAATATTTCATATTTCGTCATTTCGTAGATTGGAAAATGAAATAAAAAGATTAAATAGCGAAATTAATGATTTAATAAGTCGTAAAAAAAAGGACGAAGAGGAAATTGTAAAGGAATGGAAGAATAAAATAGCGGCAGCGAAGGAAGAATATGAGCGTTCACTTCAAGAAATTGATAATTCGAAGAGGTATTTGAATTTCATATATAATTTCATATATAATCCTATTAAAAGATTTATATTTTTTTGCTTTTTCATCGGTTATTTTATAATATTTTTAATTTTAGTTTCTTTTAAAATTCTAATTTAGTAATCACGTAAATCGAATTGATAAGGAGTATAATGAACTGATATCGCGAATGAAACAAAACTTCGAGCAACAACTGGAAACGATAGGAACAGTAGGAATTAAAGCGAGGTGACCGTAGAATCCAAATAATTTTTAGGTTTTAAAGCGAGGCGACCATACAGTCGAAATATACTTTTTTTTTATATTTATCATTCAATTTAAAAAAATTTTTTAGCGTTTTATTTTAATTTTTTTTTTTTTTTTTAAGAAATTGTGAGGAAATAATGGCAAAAATTGAGAATGTTACGGATAGAATTGGACAAATAACAACGAATATTTCAGCGATAAATGAAGCAAATTTAGAAAATAGGCATTCTTCTTTAGCAGCGAAGGAAAATGATTTGCTTCTAAAAGAGCAAAGGTGGGCAAATATGTTGTATTTTATAATCGCACCGAAGGACACTTATATTTTCACTGTTAGATAGCCTCAAACTCCAATTCAATTCTAGCAAATATGGAACATTTAGCGATTGGATCCGAGATTTTCGTGGTTTTAAATCCGTTTAGTTCAATGGAAGATTTAATAAAGAGTTGTTCTTTAGAATAAATTATCGATATATTGTTAAATTGTTTCTTTTTTTAAAGACTACTCGATGAACAAAACAGGCTGATGGATGAAAAAAAGAAAGTTGAAGAGCTGAATTTCAAGCTAAGATCGCTTTGTGAGCAAAACGAAATGTTTCTTCTAAAGGTTAATATTTATAAATAATTATGATATTTTTAAAAGTCGATGTATTTTTAATGTATGAAATTTTCCATATCTTAGAGCAGTTCCTCGGTTTGAAATTTTGCGTTAACTGCTAAAATCGCAAATATTTTATAGAATGCGAAAATTTAAATGCAAATATATTTATGCATTAATACTTTAGCCAGAACACTAATAAGCTAATAGAAAAAGTATGAGCGTTGGCGAAATCCGTACGATACGCATATTTTAAGACTGCGGAGCATTCATAGGATTATTGGATCTTTAACATTAGTATTAGTATTGGACATCGGGATTGCCCATAATTTAGAATATATACTTTGAATGAAATCCATGGCGTGTGGAACTTGTACTGTTTCATGAAATTCTTGCAATATGAAGTTATGGCGTGTTATTTTCTCCTATAATTTTATCTCATCGATTCCCTATTTTATTTTCGAAAATATTATCTACAATACTTAATTTATTCATTTTCGCCATAACTTAAGGCTATTTTTTAAAACTTTTCAACTAGCAATTAGTTATCGTTCTTTCATGAAAGAATTTTTTTTATTTTCATTTTTATAAATCGAATAAATAAATAAATAAATTTCTTCCACGAAAAAGTCGTATATTTTCTCGAAGCACAAATTATTAACTATTTAAAATTCCATATAAAAGTTCGTGTACGAAAATAAGAATCGAGGCGATTTCACAGTTTATCAATTATCCCCAATTAATTTCATATCTTAGAGAGGCTTAAAATACCATAGAATTTGGAATTTTGAAAAGCTTCAAATCAAAAGGATTTTTTTAAGATTTAATTAAAAATAAAAAATGAAAAATTACATGTGTTGCGAAATATTTATATATTTTTCGAAAACTTTAAGTGAAATCCACAGCGTGTGGAACTTAATATCACGTGAAATTCCAACATTACCAAGTCTTACCTTCGTATATAATTATTTTATATATATTTTAATAATACTTAATAATATTTAATATATAATATTATGTGCAATTATTTTATATATAATATATAATATAGATAATTTTTTTTCTCTTCTAAAATTTCAATCTCGTAAATTTTCATTTTTGCAATCATTTTTAATTATTCTAAAAAGGTTAATTTTTTGATGAGGAAAAAATTTTGAAAAATTTAATTCTATAAACATTTTTTTCATTTTTTCCAGGAAAAATGGCAAATTCGTGAAGAACGTAATAGATTAAACGCTGAAAAACAAGCGTTTAAAGATGATCAAAAACAAATCATTGATTTAATTGAAAAACAAAAACTCGAAACCGAAACATCTCGGGTATCTTCCTTTTTTTTCTACACCATAGCCATGAACTATATTTTTAATTATTAATAAATAAGATAATTTTAATGATAGGCATTGGCAATGGAAAAAAAAACTGACTACTTGGCTATTTCTCATTAAAATAGTACAATAGATTCCAAAATGAATTGCAAAATGAAGTCGAACAATGTTAAGTTTGAAGAGGATTGTAATGAAATTAACAGAATTAATGGAGGATTACTGAAGAGGATTATAATGAAATTAGCAGAATTAATGAAGGATTGAAGAGGATTATAATGAAATTAGCAGAATTAACGAAGGATTGAAGAGGATTGTAACGAAGTGTAAGAAAATTAAGTTAATCGTATAATATCAAAAAAGTTTAATCGAAAAAAGTTTTTTTTTTTTTATTATATTAAAGCAATATTTATATGTTATATTATTATATTCAATACTTATATAATAGTGAATAAAAATTTGAAAAATTTGATTATTTATAGGAAAATTTTCTTCGCGAACAACATGATTTACTCGTACGTGTTATGGCGGAAAAGGCAAGGCTTGACGAAGAAAAATCGTCGTTCTACGTGCAAAGAGAAAGTGATATTCGAAGATTAAAAGTTGAAGCTGAAAATCTCGAACAAAAATTAGAAGAGATTCGTTTCATTTATTTATTTATTTATTCAATTTTATATGTAATTTTATATATATTATTTATTAATTTTATTTATTTCTAAAAAATTTAACAATTTTAATTTATTCTAATTGAATGAATTAATTTTGAAAAAAAAATCAAAAAGCCAAACTTTATAAGAAAGAAATTATGCAAAAATATTTATATTTTTATAAATGAATTTTAAAAATTTTAAATTTTAACATTTACTATATTATTTAAAATTACTATATTATTTAAAATTTAAGTTGAAAATGCTAAAAGTTGTTTAATGGAAACGCGAAAAATTTATGAAACTAAATATTATCAAGTAAGCATTATTAAGTATTTAAATTATTTATTTTTTGCATTTTTCAAATAAATAAAAAATAATAATAAATAAATAAAAACTAAACAAATGAAAAAATTATAAAACTAAAAATTCGGAAAAATTCTTATAAATCAACGAATGAAACGATTTTTTTTTAGCGAAAAATTATAAAAAATTCTTTTTGAATTTAATTTATTTTATTATTAATTTATTTTAATTTGTTTATTTATTCATTTCGAAGTATTTCGAAATGTAAATTTAGTAGACAAAATTTATACATTTTTTTTCGTATACAGCTTGTTGAGCTCGAGCAAACCTTAATCGACGAATGTTTAGAACTTGAAAATTGTAGAGAACAGTTAGAAAATTCATATAAAAGGCGAGAAGTAAGTCATTTTTCTTTTTGTCAATATAGCTAACTGTCTTTAAATTTTTCCATTTATCATTATTTATGCTGATAATGACCTTTTTTTTGGCCATTTTAGAGCTATATTTTAAACATCTCATAACATTAGTGATAATAGTAGTGATAAGGCAATATATCTTATCTATAATAATAACTGGCGAAAACTTTTGGTGGCGATTGATTGCTTGCTAAATTTTTTCAATAAATAATAATAAAATATTTATTTTTATTATTTATAATAATTATTTTTTTATTATAATTATTATTTTATTATCTATAATTTTTTATTTATATTTAGAGCGAAGTCCTATTTGAATTTAAGCATATTTCGTTGAAATGCGACAAAATTTCCATCGATGCCACAATTCGAAAGAAATATTTTATTTTAAAAATGAAATTAATATATAATATATGAACATATTTTAATAATAAATATATATATGTATATTATTTGTATATATAAAAATAAAAAATATAAAAAAAATATAAAATAAAAATTTCATTTTTTATTTGCAACTCTTCTAAATAATACAAATAAAATATAATAAAATAACCATTATAATAATAAATAATAATAAATAATGTATGATTTCCAACAAATTGCTAAGGCATTAAATAAAAATGGCTTTTTTTTATAATTTTTAATTTATTTAATATTTATGAATAATTTATTTTAAATGCTTAATATTTTAATAATTTTAATTAAAAAATTTTTGATGGATTAATGATTTATTCCGCACAAAAGCTATAAAAATTAAAAAAAATTGAAAAATATTTTATTGAATATTATCGTAAATAAGATCTTTTTGCAATCGCTTCTAATTTTTTTTATATAATTTTTAATATAATATAATAATTTTAAAGAACCTTTAATAAAATTTAAACTTATTAATTTATATAAATTTGGAAAATTCCTCTCATTTGGTTATTTCAATACGAAAAATTTCTTCCAAAATCTTTTATTAATTTATTTATTATTAAAAGGAAAACAATTTCGATAAATCGCTTAATTTAAATAATTTTAGATTAAAATTAATTTAGATAAAAAAACAAATTTATTGAAATTAAAAAAACATTAAAAATAAATGAAAAGAATTTTTAAAGAATAATTTTAAATATGCAAATATTTTAGCAAAATATCTTTGACGATTCTTCACCACCGTTCGATCCACATATTATGCCAACTAACATAAATCAATCCGCTGGTATTGCTTTAAACCGAAGGTTGGTCCGTGATTCAATCACCAATTAAAGCTTAAGTATTTCGGTTTTTTCCTAGTTGTTTGAACTTCAGCCTCGGTTACTTCTAGTTTACGATATGTAGTCTACTATTTGTGACACGCATTACACTATTATATTATTTGAACTATTCATGCAAAAGGCTATTGACTGTATTACTATTAAATATCTTCTTCTTCCAACAGCTCTCACCATTACTGGTTAGGCTAACTCCAACGGCTACAAGGGTAAGACGCTTCCAAGCGGCGCGGTCTCGTGCCATCGCCGACAGTAAAAGAAGCCATTCTTTTTTCCATCGTCTAAGTCCATATATTGCTGGTCCACCTATACGTTCAAAATCTTTTCTCACCGTATCAATCCAGGTCTTGATTGGCCCATCTCTCTTTTGACGCCAATCGTCACACGATTTAGCAAATAACGAAATATGCGTCAACCCCTATGATGGACCACGGAGAACGTGCCCTTCTCCCCTCGAAGGCGACATTCTGTGATAACATGAAAGTGGTATTATTTATGTAAGAGGTATTTGAACAATTAAATATATAAAAAGGCATCAAGTCAAACGATTAAGCCAAGCTATGTTGAGGAATTTTTTGTAAAATCCCTTAGAAGTGAAAAGAATTATTTTACGATATATTTTTATCATAAAATTTTTTATTAGTCAAAAATTTGAAAACTTCAGGAATAACGATAAGCTACGCGATATTTTGAAAAATCATTCTGAAAAGCTCGAGCAATATATCTCACCATCAACCAGCAAAGCTAGTGATAACAAAACTTGATTTCATCAATTTCGATCAAATTATCAGAGATTATCAAATTACAATATCTTACTTAAAATATTTTATGCTGCATGTGCCATCTTTAATTTTATCGTTTTTGTAAATGCCTTGATCAGCGAAATATGCTCAGCAAAGTATCGCCAATATAAAAGTTTTTAAAAAAAAAAGTTATTTTAAACGATAGCAGTAATTTTCCTCGCCATTTCTAATTAGACTCGCTCCCATGGTTTATCGGGCCGTGCAAATTTTTACCAACGAATTACATAACCATAAAATAGGTTAATCGTCAGTATCAACGATCAGTTATTTAAAAAATATTCGATTTTGAATCAAACCTCACGAATTATTAAAAGTTTGGAAAAATTGCCTTGCCAAACTACGAGAAAGAATTATTCTTTTCAGTATAAAAGAAATAAAATATATCGAATTTTCAATCAAAATTTGCGCATCGTACGAATTGCACCAAACCAAAACCAACTTCATTCTTTCTTGATCTGCTGCAAAAAAAAGGAGAAAAACTGTCGCACAAAAAGCTTATTTGACCTGCTCCGCTTACATGAAGAATAAGAAATAATGCTTTCTTAAATTCACTTTTTATAAGAACCCCATATAAAACGTTTGATAATGATAACGTTTGATAACAAAAAGCGATTGATGAAGATAATAAAAATTTCTAGCATCTTTAAAAAAATATATCTTCTTACTGCAGTCAGTATTCCTGGTTCAACTAGACCAGAAAATTGTCATTTAGAAATAAATATTTCGATAATCGCCAAAACAGCATAGAATTTGCTCCTATTAAAAAGTGAAAATGGAAAATTAAAAATTTTTGTTTCTCAACATTTTTTTTGTACCCAAAAATTTAAAAAATTAATTTTAATAGATTACCCGGGATTTCCCCAAGAATTATTCAAAAAATTCTACAAAATATTGCAAAATAAAAAGTGCAAAACACTAAAATACACTAAAAGACTAGTTTAGTTTGAAGATCTTTACAGTTTGAGCGAAACATTAGATAATGGTATTTGAAATAAGTGAAACGAATTGACAATCCATCTATGCACATTGTTCAGCGAGCTCGTATAACTTGGTAGCAAGTTTACCTTTCATTGACTCCATCGCTTTTTCTGCCGCTTCATTATAGAGCTCGTAGGCTCGACTTAAATCTCGTTCTAAACCGTATCCACCTATAAAATAGTTTTTAAATATTGGTTTATGCTATCTCTATATTCGAAAAATATAATGCAATAATATTGAAATAAATGAAAAAAATGACGAAAGCGATCGTGAAATGAGGA